GTTCACGAGCAACCGACGACGACGACGACGACGACGACGACGACAAACGCAGCCGGTTCGAAAGAGAGACAACACGGCTAGTCGCCACGACACTCGCATAATACGCGTCCGAGTCGTCGACGAGTTCGCGACCGACGTCGACCACACTCGTTTTCCTCCTTTTACTCGTCGAAAAGCTGCCGAGCGCGTTCTCGATGGTTCGTTCGAACGAAGGGGAAAAAGAAACAGAGAAAGAGAGAGAGAGAGAGAGAGAAAAAACGTTCCTTTTCCAAAAATACAGCGGTCAATCGCGGCCAGAGGAATCGATCGCGGGCCAATTAACCGAGTGGATTATTCCGGCCGGTGAGTACGATATCTCGGGGACCGGTTCTACCGTTCAAACGTATCCGGAAAGTTTCGCGACTCGTCTCGAGAACCGCTCGGCGAACCGGCCGAACGCTCGTCCGCGCGTGACAAGCTCGCGTGACGGCCGTTGGACGAAATTCGCGACGGGACTGGATTCAACTAGGAAGAGCGCCGTCTCTCGATCGACTCGGGGGAGACCGGTAGCGACGAAGCAGCCACGGGACGCGCGCGCGATCCAATTATCCGCTCGGTCTCCGAGAGCAGATCGCGGTCGCGGTTATCGTAAATCAAGATTAACGGTCGAGAAGATTTTCGCCGACCAACCGGTCGCGAGTTTCGACTTTTAAAGCTCGAGTCGCCGGCTCGCGGTGTATCGAGAACGAACGAGTAAAGAATACGCGAGAAGGAGAAAAAGAGATCGCGGGGGTGCGAGGGGCAGCAAAAGAAAATGATCGATTAACGTCGATGCGTTAACGGGTTAAACGCATTCGCGATTACGCGATAATTCAAGATTTTTATTCGAGGAAGCAAACTGGTTTCGCCTAAGCGAAAAAAGAACGCCGGCTTCCTGCTCGACGATCCGAGCGACGACGCCAGAACGGATTCGCGCGCGTATCAAAGATTTTCGATCGTCGATCAGAGCGCGCGAACGCGCATCGTCCGGCGATCTCGTGCGTAGTAAACCGGTCACCGACCGGACTCGAACGAGTTACGATAAATCGTGAATAACGGCCGACTGGAAAGATTCGCTGCCGGGTTCGCGTTAATTTTCTGTTTGTTTTCTAATTAACTTTCAGAACGCTCCGTATTCTATCGAGTCGAGTCGAGTCGAGTCGAGTCGAGTCGAGTCTCGTTCTACTCGCTCGTTCGTGCGTGACCGCGAATTCGCGCTGGTTTCTCAGGATTATAATTCCAGTTGGTTTCAAGGATCGAATCGCCGGTTAATAAATTCGATAATTAAGATACTACCGGGATTAAGGCTATAACGATACGGCGAATCGACGCTTCGCGCTTCGTATCGGGTCGAGGGACGCGCTTTGTTCGCCGCGAATGTCGCGTACGAGGCGAAAAGAGGGAGTTCCCCTCTTCGATATCGCGCGACTTCGGTATTTACGCCGGTGTTTCCGCGACGAGTTTAATTCGAGCGCGAGTCTAGATCGAAACCGGACCCACCCGGATTCCCTCGGTCGCGCGATACGAGCGTACCGGTGATCCGCTCGAATAAATCGTCGTTTCGCGTAAAAAGATCCGACCGAACGGCGCCTTAGCCATTACCGCCTAATTAACGATCGAGAGAGAATTCGCCAAGTTTATTCGAGAAACGTGCCGCTGTTACGATTTTCGTTCCGGCCCGCTTAAATCGATATTAAATCGATACGATTCCGCCGCGTCGAGAGTTTTCGCGCGTCGAGAGTTTTCGCGCGTCTCGTCGCGCTTCTCCGAGGTCTCGGAGAAGAGCGCAATTAGCGACCGGCTATAATTTAAGCCGGTTCGATTAATGCATCTGCCGCTTGGACGAGGTCGGATTCGCGCGGGATAACCGATCCCGTCCGACCCGAACCGATGCGACCCACCCCGCTGCTCGTTCGCTGTCCGGCGAGCACGCAGCGCGCGTTCGGTCTCGCCGGTAATTAACGCCGCGATACGTCCCGTCGGCAGGTTCGTTAAATCTCTCTCCCTCTGCTCTCCTCTCGATCCGTTCCCGACCGACGCGGACATCGCGATACGCCGCGTCGCGGACGGCCCGTCAGGGCTCCGCGTCCGAATCGATTCCTAGCTTTTCTCGCGAGCGCTAATCGCGGCCGTCGCTCGCCGTCGCTTCGAACGAAACTCGGTAATTAACGCGGCGATACGGAATCGCGGCTGGCTCGTTAAAATCGCCTCTCGTTCCTTTTCCATTCCGTTTATCGGCCGCTCGTTCTTTCGATACCGGTCGCTCTCTCGGCATCGAATCCGAGCCTCTGAAAAGAGCGAAAGACGACGACGAGGCGAGAGGAGAAAAAGGGCAAAGGATCCCGGGAGTCGCGTAACCGGCGTACGCGAGGCGCGAAGCGACGGTACCGATAGCCGAGTCGGTGCGTGCGAGCGAGCTAGCCACCGAGTCAACGAGCAAAGAAGGTGTTCGCGTTGGCCTAGTGCCGAGGCGTTTGCGGCTTAAATTAATTACCTCGTCCTCCGACGTAACGGGTCTTTGGCCGATGCCCGCAAACTCGCTCGTCGCGCCGCGCCGCCTCGATCGCTCGACATCGCTTTACCGGATTTTCTAGCGAGCTCGCGTTCCGTATCGATTATCTCGCGAACCACCGCTGCTCCGAATCGTTCGGTCCCCGACGCTTTTCCGCTATCATCGTCGTTGGAATCGTTGTCCAAGGAGGCGCGTCTTCTGGTCGTTTCGTCCTCGAATCGTTCGACGCGCGGAAAGCGCGAGTCCGAAAACGCGCTCCCGTTACTCGCGATCTCGAACCGGTCGATGGATCGTTCCCGATCTTTATCGACGCCACTGCAGACAGCGTGGCTGTGTCGTCGTTACGGGAATCCGTGACGATCGTTATCGTTTCGTAAAAGCGTTAACGGCCGTTTTACGACGCTCGACGTAAACGCGACGTTCGATAAACGCGTATCGCACCGAAAGCGAACGTCGATAAACGTGTATCTGCTCGATACGCGGAATCGTTATTACGCGGTAGATTAAGCGAGGCTCGCGCGTTCGCCGTCGAAGCAGAAGTCGCAAAAAGCTCGAATCTCTACGGCGTACCTTCCTCCGTGCCTCCTACCGGATGCTTTCGGATTAATCGTCGCGATCGCGTTACACCTCCGAGAGCTCTCCGATCTTATTTTATCTCGCGTCTTTCTCCGGAGTCGCGTGATCGCCCAGAGTCCGTCGCGCGTATCTCGATCGATCGGATTCGTTTTCTCGACGCCGAAATTACGCGTCCTCTCGGTCGAACGACCGGAAGGGATCGCAGGTACTCGAACGAGCGTGTAATACCGAGGCTCGAAAGGGTGGCGAGAAAAAAGACGGAGCAGCGTGGAAACCGAAAGAGGTCCGATGCTTTCTCCGAGAACGAGACGAGGCGCCGGGCGACAACCAATTAGGCCTAAGAACCGGACGAGCGTCCTCGTGAAAGACGGTGCCGCTTGTCCCGTCGGCGCCAGACACCCGCGCGGCCACCGATATCGATACCGACCCGACACCCTCGCTTCCAACGTCGAGAAATCGTTTTCGGCCGTCGGATACGGTGCGCGAACCTGGCTCGCGAAATTTTTTCCAACAAACGGTCGGAACGACGACAGTTTCTCCAGCGACGAGGAAAGAACGCGGTCAACGCGGAAGACCGGAAGCCGTGACGCGATACGTTATCGTCGAACCGGGTTACCTTCCCGATCGTTTCCGATTCCGCTTTCGAGCTCTCGTTTCCCTCGCGATTTATTATTACCTCGCGACGCGATCGATTACCAACCGATTACGCGTTCGCGAGACTTCCTCGGTAACGATAACGATAAAACAAACGAAATCGCCCGGTGACAGCCAGGCTCGGTAAAGTCGCGGCAGTTTCTTTTTCGCCTCCATCGTCGTTATCGTTAATTAACGACGATAGTCGCGCGTCCAGATAACGACCCGTATCCGTTCGACGAACGAACCGGCGGCGATTGCCGTAACGAAGGCGAACGTTTACCTCTGCCGTTTGCGATCGATCGGCGAGCGATTCGGAGTCGCGCCGTTTAAGCGGAGAAACGAAAATGGACAAAGAGAAGAGAAAAAAGAGGAAAAGCAAAGTACTCACGCGTCGACACTCAGCGGTCGATGATCGGCATCGTAGAGTTCGCGAAGCGAGTCGAAACGAGGCTTCCTATCCGTCGTGGCGGTCGATCGTTCGACGTCCGCTCGTATCTTTCGCTTCCGTTTCGTCTTCCGGTGGTCGGCCGCTCTCGACGATCGTCGAGTCACCGAACAGTCTTATTCCTTCGGTTGGTTCGTCGACGAACTCCTCCGTTGACGATCTCGGCTAATCCAGTGACCGTTTCTCCGGTTCCAGAGCATCGGATCGACGACGCGACGACGATTCAACCCCGGCGAGAACCGTCGGCGGCTTTCGCGCGGCCGATCCTCGTCATCCTCGATCGTTCGGTGAA